ATATGTATTTTACCCTTGGAATATAGAAACAAGTATTCCTCTTACTTTTGTTTATGATTTGCAAGTTATAATGCAATTGGATAATTATGCAAACAATGCTAATCACGTTTTTAAAAAATACAAAAAGTTAAAAGACACTCACCATCTTTATTCATTCCAGCGTCCACACATTTCCCAAGCCTGCACGCGCGGCACTGATTTCTGTGAGTCTTGTCCACGGGGCAGCGACCCTGACCTCTCGATTTGCATACGTACTGTCTGTTGCGTCTGATTGACCTCTGTAACATGCAATACTTAACTAATGACAAAACAAATAACATTCCCGAAATTATGTTATCAATGACTACTATATTATATATGGAATTAACTTTAAGTGAAAACAAGTTACCAGTAAAACACGGGACGAGTAAATAATCCCATGAAACACGTCTTAAGTATTTAAGTTGACTGATCAAACACGAAGATTTCAATCGTTCATGTCAACTGGTAAAATACTACTAAGATGACTTTAGCGGTCACTTTAATCTCGGTAAAAGCATGCTTGTCATGTTGGTGCCCTGTACTAACGTTCCACAACCGATGGCCATATTCAAGGGTCAACGATATCAATAACGTTATTGATATTTGCGAAGGTGCACATGAATAGTGTCAAACAGAGATGAGGATTATCATAAATGTTCGTTATCAAACACGACTATAAAGTTTTTAAACCAGACCTCCCTCATAAAAGGGAACAAAAGAAATAATGTTGATCTAGGGGAGTGACCTGTGTTTACCGTGAATCACAAGAACGTTTGAAATATATTGTCAAAAAGTGCCAAACTTGTTTGAAAAGAACATCTAATTGTACAAACAGTAGACACTTTGTGTAAGAATATTTTTATCCATTACACCGGTCAAAAATGAATATTTGTGTGGTCTTTTCCCCCAGTCAAGTGCAGGTCTTTTTTGATGTGACTAGTTCAAACTGTATTAGAGGGAAAAGAAAATCGTGTGGTAAACTTAACGGAGATATGCGGCTTTATGTTCCAAACACGCGGCTTAGTCTCTGCCACGAGTCGTCGGAATCGATCGGATAATTTTTAGATGTGTTAAGCGACCTTAGAAATATGTGGTTAGCGAGTCTTTGTAGTCAGTATGTCGTAAGTCGGTGATTAAATGAGATCAGTATATGAGTGACGACACTCTCAAAATGTTGGTATCTCAATTGGTCGAGCGTTGATAGCTTAATACTTAATAATCATTGTAATATTTCTTAACCTTTTATAATAACAATACATCGTCATTATATTTAGTTTTGTTTGTCTTACGCTTAAGGTAAAGTCGACTTTAGAATAAATAATACACATTCCTGTGATTTAGATAGTATCTTATTCAAAATGCTTGATACCGCATTAAGTTGACAAAAAACAGAAATATATGAGTGTACCATGATACCTACCCCCTATGTTTGATTCCTATCCAGGTAGTCGAGTGGGTATGTAACATTTAGAAGGACGTGTATGATCTGCCATTGGCATTAACAGGGATTAGGCACCGCGGATGTTACCCCTATGTTAAAACTCTTGTCTCATCGTTATAGTGTAAAGTTAATCGCCATTCCATGATGTCTAGATATACAACTATTGAATACTATACCAAAACAGTGATATCTTTTACTAATACGGATACTGGCATTCTGTTTTCTTTTTATATTATATTCAGTACATCGTTTAAATATATAAATGAAATACTGCAGTCCTATCAAATAAAGTTATAGGTTTAAATCTTTTGAAAAAATAATAAAATGTAAATTACTTAATTTGTAACATGATACTTTATATCATATATTTTACGTAAAATGATGTTTTAATTGCACCTACATTCCATTGCTTATGTAAAGTGAAATTATGATTGCACCTTCAGTTCGTTCCTTATCATTGATAATTTATATGCAATGCTATTTTTATTTTCTAATTTCAGTAGCTTTGCTTTAAACGGAGCTATTTATCTTAAATCATGATTACGGGATATAGAATGTTTGCATTAAACCAAAATGACTACTGCAAGTATTCTAAGTTATTGTCACTTTAATGAGAGTGAGGTGTGTTTTGCACGCGTATTTTGCGAGAAAAATACATAAACTGAAATGGCGTCATCGCCTCCTGCAATGCCTGCGGGACTCACCAGGTGGCCACTTCCGGTCTAACTAGGATATTACGGGGAAATGTCGTGACAATACCGTTTGGACATTGCATGCATACGCTTACCTCAATCCGATTTAACATTCATGGAAAGAGTGCAGCACGTAAAGGGGAACGGAAAATGAAATTGGATTGCCTGTCCACAGAGTCGTATAATATTACAAAGTCAATTATCACATATAAATATTTTAGACTTTTCGACCTCAATAAAGTCTCTGGACGGAAGAAATAAAACCAGTGCCAATGAGTAAAATCCGCGTTAATTGGAACAGAGCACACGTTCAATTGAAGTATTGTTTCTCCGATAATTGACTGTTAGTTATCGATACAATACACACGCGAACGTGTTAGATTGGAATCTGTTACACCTTGAGGTGTTACTAAGTTAATTTGATATTTTGTTTTTGTTTTTATATTGGCAATGACAGAATGAAGAAACTTCATGAGCGTTAAGAGACAACGATATAGCAAGTTTGTGTCTTAATATCCTAAAGAAAAATTAAAAAATAATTACCTTAAAGAAACCAGCACATCTGAAATTATAAACGTGTAGACACAATTATAAATACAGTAAATAAAAATACATAATTAGACGTTAAGCCATTACAAAAAGTGTTATGGCAGAAAATAATGCATGTTTCAGAATGATGTGCAAGTACGAAAACAGTAAAACAAAAGCATCTTTCCAAATGAATCTTAATGTGAACAGTTTTAGTTAAAAAAAGATTTCATTTCTCTAGAACCAAGTAGATGTTGAGTGCAGTACCTACCCATCACATGCGTAGATTCCGTAGTGCTTTCCCGAGGAGTGGTCCTGACAAACGACACATGGGATATCAGTCAGAATCCTACCTGGAATTACATAAAAAAATGACCATGTAAATTAAAATACTAACAACATATTACATAATAAAATTATAAAAGCAAGAAATATATTATGCAACCAAATGATTCAATTTGAGCATTGGAATAGTTTAAACATTGTATTCATTGCAAAACAAATAAGTTATATAACACGTGATTGGTATTTTTGCAGACTCTCTAGCCCATCTGGTTTACTGTGTTTGCTTGCTAGGAGCCTTTGATCTAACTCCCCTAGTGATACACAGACACCAGGGTAAGTACCTGTACGACAGGTATCCTGGCTTCTGTGGCTCGTTAATCCACCTCCTACCCAATCAATAACACCAGATTAACTCCGTCACCTTTTTATTGCATTATGGCGACATTATATGTGTATTCTTTTGTTTTTCGAAATATTCATATGCAATGTAAATTCATGCTCTTATGATATTTAACAAATGTATTTATTGGTTAGGACATTTCATATGTACAAATCGTTTAACAATTTGTAACATAATTTAACGAACAACACTGTTATGACTCATAAAAAGGCTGCCACAGAAAATATACAAATAAGAACGTTTTTTCAGAATTTCTTTTATCTTTCTATTTTCTCGCCTGTTCCTCCTCATACCTTTGACATACCTGTCATCTACCTGTTCCTATGTAATTAAGGATCACTTGTTTTCACAATTAACAGTCTTATTTCCTCCCCTTTCCGGCTAGGTTCTTTATAGCAGACCTGACTTACCGGAATGAGGCGACCGCCTAAGAAGTATCGCCGGTTAAATGTCCCCCAGACCTAATTAAGGTAAGCTACGGCTTTGTAGTGTCCGATCCTGTTTGCATGCAAATCGTGCATTTGCCTATCATGACAAAAGTTACACGAAACCTACGCAAATAAATCACCACAACAACAGGAAGACAGTTGGGAAACACACTGTCCCTTAGGCATTGGTAAGCTCTTCATGGCATTTTAAAAGTTTCAGATTCTTAACCTTTCGTTATAAAATATAGCTTCATGGATGTGTCATCGCTGTGAGGAGTGGATCAGGTTTAATATCTACATTAAGTCAGTCCATGATGTTATTAACATTTATACAAAGGGAGGCAAAACTAAATTAAAAATATTAGGTGTCTCAAGTAACAGTAATGTCATCTATAATCAATAGATTTCCTCATCTAATTAGGAATTTTGTCTATATTTGGTTTTAAATACAAACGCCTTAATTAGTCACATATATAACATTGATACAAATACCTAGATTTAATAAGTCACATGTACATTGTGTAACATTGGTTTCATATCCTAGCTTTTATTGGTCACATGTATAACATTGGTATCATATACAAATACCTAGCTTTAATAAGCCATATGTATAACATTGGTATCATATACAAATACTTAGCTTTAATTGGTCACATGTATAACGTTAGCTAGTCACATGTATAACATTGGTATCATATACAAATACCTAGCTTAATTGGTCACATGTATAACATTAGTTTTATTTACAACAAACACCTAGTTTTTATTGGTCATATGTATAAACTTGGTTTTATATACAAACAACTAGCTTTAATAAGACATATGTAAAAAAAATTGGTATCATAAACAAACGCCTGGCATTAATTTGTCACATATACTAACACCGTCGCATTTCAAGAACACCTGCAGTTGCAATATGAATTTATAACTATCCCACCATTTAAGTTAATAGACATAAACAAACCAGAATAAAATCACACAAATACACAAATAAATGTACATCAATAGAAATAGGTGATAATATACCAAACAAAATTGTTAGATAGTATGTCTACCTACAGTAAAACTGTTGGGGAAGCCAGGAGAATAAACGTGATTTGTATGTTATAAACAAAATCAGTCGTTATGTACGTAATAGTTTTAATGTCACTGCAAGTACACGTAATACAGTTACTTACACTAATGGTTAATCAAAATGTGCTCCAAAACCACACACATAATGACTAAAATCAAATGACTTTATTGTATTAATATAATATATTTCATTACAGAACGAAGTGCAAAATTCGATACACTCAAATGTAATTATGAATGAAATATTTTAAAAACTGAAGGCACAAGAACAGGAAACTTTTAAATATATTAGAAAATATATCCCCTGAAGTCAATAAGCCTATTATCACTTTACGGATTTTATATTCAACTTTGAAAATTCTAATTCTTTTACTGTGTTATAAAATAACATACGGATTTTATATTATTAGGGATTAACCAGAAATTGTTATAGAAATGTGTAAAATAGAGAATTGTTTTATTTTATTTCTATTTCTATTATAACATATTCAGGGTTTCAACTTAGAACAGTGACAGTAACTTAAATATTTATTTTTGTATAAATACAACAGAAGGAACATACGATTCCAGGTATTGAAAATAAAATAAAAGATTAATTAAAAAACAAAATAACGTTTAAGCACTTTCATGATGAGGTGAAATAGCTTAATTCAGTGGTAAAATAACCTTATATAATATGTGTGTACTTACTTGATATTCCAGATACTTTGCCGCTCATCTTGAATCAGCTGATATGTGATCTTCTTGATACTTTACGAATACAGAACCTAATGTCGTTAATGTCACAACGTTGATGACACAAATTGTATCATATATT